GCGGAACAGCTGGTAGTTTCGAACTGCTGACCTTGCGGTTTGCAGCCTTATTTGTAACCACTATGCTACAGAAAATATATATTCATTTAAATATTCAAAGGACAAAGTCTGCACGCTAGCCTCCCGCTTACAGGCACACAGCCTTTATCGCTCCATGGGCCCAGAGTTCTCAGCTACTCCATCTCTCTTTGCCATCACCTCTGCTGGTCTCTTTTTATAGTGTTAGACACAGGTGGGTAACAAGACTCCGCTTTTCTGTTCAAGGCCTGGTACCTTTGTGAATTTGGTTCTCTCAATGGGCTTCATTAAGCAGACTTTACTTCTTTTGTCTTTTCTCCAAACACCTAAAAGAAGGGGGTAATGTTTCAAGAAAGCTGAAATAAAGACACTGTTACTTAGTATTTCTTTCTCACCCTCCACCTCCACCATGTGTTTATATGTTATTGCCTACTGAATCAGAATTGTTGGGTGTAGACCAAGTATTCTGCAGTTTAGCAAGCTTTCCAAGTGATTTTGATGCATGCTGAGGTTTGAGAAGCACTGTTTAGGACTTTAATCCATGAGCACCCAGAACCTTGGTGCAGCCGCCGTCTGGAGGTGTGGGGATAAGTCTCTCTCAATCCGGAAGGAACTGAAACAGTGGGTAAGTGCCCTAGTGGGCATACAACACACTGATTTACATGCTGCTCTCATTGTGTCTGATAACGATCAAAGACTATAGCCTCAGTACAGATTACACATCAACCTAAAGAAAACCAAGGCCTCACAACTGGATCAAAAAACAACATTATGACAAATGAAGAAAATACTGAAGAATTGTCAAGGAGCTCATTTTACTTGAATCCATAATCAATGCCCACAAATGCATGAATCAAGAAATCAAACAACATATTTCACTGGGCAAATCTTTAATGATATCTTTAAGGAGTTAAAAAGAAAAAAAATTGAGGTCTAAGGTACACCTGATCAAAACCATGGTCTATAATTATAATTGCTTCATATACTTGTGAAAGCTTGACAATAAATAAGGAAGACTAAAGAAGAATTGATGTCTTCAAAACATGGTGTTGGCGAAGAATATTTAATATACCAATGGCTGCCAGAAGAACAGGAGAATCTTGTCTTGGAAGAAATACAGCCAGTGCTTCTTGGAAGTGAGAATGATAAAACTGTCTCATGTAATTTGGGCATGTTACCAGGAGGGACCAGTCCCTGCAGAAGGACATCATGCTTAGTGAAGTAGAGCGTCATCAGAAAAGAGGAAGACCCTCAACAAGATGGCTTGAAACAGTGGGTGCAACAATGGACTCAAACATAAGAATAATTGTGAGGATGTTGCCGGACCAGACAGTGAGGATTAAGGTTGTGTATCAACTTGGCTGGGCTCTGATTCTCAGTGGTTTGCTAGTTAGGTTGTAGCCATCCCCCATGATGAGATCTGCTGTGAGCAGCCAGTCAGCTGAAAGGGAGTTTCCTTGGGGGTGTGGCCTGCATGTAATACATATGTGGACATTCTGGCAAAACTCTCTTTTGCTCCATCTGGATCTTGTATCCGGCGCTTCATATCTTTGGTTCTTTGGACTTGAGCCAACAACCTGCTGTATTGCCTGCTGATCTTGAATTTGTGATGTAGCAGTCTGCCGTTTGACCTGCCAATCTTGGTTCATCAATCTGTGCAGCTACAGGAGTCAGGAAAATCCTCCAGCTTCGTGTCCAACTCACAGACTTGAAATGTATCAGCTTCTACAACTGCCTGAGGCATATCCTTGAACTAAACCTCTCTTTTATGTACGCATGTGGTGCTGTGGGTTAATGCGCTGGACTGCAAGATTGGTTTGAATTACAAGGTCAACAGTTGAAGTTCACTAGCTGCTATATAGGGTCGCTATGAGTCAATACTAACTCGATGGCAGTTAACAACAACAACAGCGTTTATTGATTTTGCTTCTCTAGAGAACCCAGTCTAAAACCTTTTGCACTGAGAGTGGTTCTAGAGGGAAAAAATGGTAAAGATAAAATTTCTAAGTTGTTCTCAAGTCTGGCTAATTTTCATGGTACCAATGACTCTACCTCCAGGAGTAGAGGATGCTGCTAATCCACATTGTGAAGTAACAATAGAAATAAGCAAACTATCAATAGATCAAATATTTGTCAGAAACGGGTCTTTGAGTGATTGAATATTGGCTTCTTTCCTCCACT